CTCACACAGACTCACACGCACACACACACACACACACACACACACTTTTAAAGTGTTCAGATTTGGTCTAAATATTAGTAAATGTGGAATAACTGAGTCTGACAAACACACATACTGTAGAACAGGTACAATATGGCTCACATTTAAAAAAAATATTTTTTCTAATATTTTTACAGAAAAAATATGTGGTAACAGGGAACAGTTAAAAATAAACCTGTAATAAACTAAATACATAAATATTTGTTTTCTTAACAGATCATCAAAGTTATGACAGTGTCAGGCAGGTTTTAAAAATGAAATAATATAATGAAAGCAGAGCTGGGTAGTGACTGAATTACATGATCAGATTCCAAAAATGAAGTACTTGTAATTAGATTAAATTACATTTTAAAATACTAGTAATAAGGCTACAGTTAGGGTTAGGCTACAGTTTATAATATAATATAAAACACTGAACAACTAGTTTATATTGATGGAAAGTGTTTTCAAATTCAAACAAAACATTTTCATATTTGGCTGAAATAGAGCAAATAATTTAATTTGTTCCACAAAGCTGTGATGATGATGATGATGATGATGATGATGATGATGGTTTGTTTCAGCCTCTGCAGAAAAAGAGTGACGACACGTACCGAGAGATCGAGACGAAGCCAGGCGTAAGTGTGACTGATTCACTTTTACTGTCTCGTACTGATTCATCTGAACGATTCATATGAAAAGACTCACTCTGCTTGTGATTTTCCAGCAGCGGCGCCGAACTGATCAGGTTTATCAGGTCAGACATGCTTCACATCACAGCTAGACATCAGATCCTGAACATCAGAGTGGGTTTGACGTGTTGAATGTGTTCTTGTGTTTCAGGGTTTGAGCTCCGTGACTAAAGACACGTATGATTCTCTGCACATGCAGCAGATTCACCCGCCGCCGCGCTAAACGCTGATCCTCCACCGTCAGCATCTCAGTCCACATTCATTATTCATTCCTGCTCTTGCTTCTTAAGCCTTCCAGGTGTTTCTTTCCTACAGACTCCGGAGATTATTCAGTGTTTCTCCACTTTGTGAATTATAGACTTTCATAATGAGCTCACATCACACATGTACAGTAGAGTCAGAAGAAAAATCGATATTAAACCAAACCTGATTGCAGAACGAACGCTTAACTCTCTGGTATTGTTCATTCGGGAGTCACACTTGTTGTTCACCGGTCAAAACAGACCGGAGGTCATAATCGTGTGCAAATTTTATTTTTTGTGAAGATTTCATTTCAATAATGATTTTCTTTAATATTTAGCATTTTGAGCGTATTTCATGGTACTAATTAATATTCTTATCTAAATATTGGACTATTTTCTGTATAAAATGTTAAAAATATATATATATAATTTTTCAATTAATGCAGTATTTGTTAAAAATAGATCAAAAGTATTTAAAATCCATTGAATCCAGGCAGATTTGTTCCACCTTGTGGAAGAAATAAAGAAAATCACCTGTAATACCATGGTGTGGCCATTAGATGGCTGTATAGCCATATATACAGTATATATTCAGTGCTGTGCATTCCTTAGTTACCGAGCAGTGTTTTCAGGCATAACCGCTTAAGTTTTTGTCACCTCCTTCATTGCTGTGCATTGTGGCTGATTTGTAGATTGCACACACAAAAACATCTCTGTATTTTTGCCTGTTTTCCATTCATTTCCAATGGTGGTCATTTTTGACCGCGAACAACACAACTGTGACTTTTTTCACAACCATTTAGCTTTTTCGAATCAAGTCCAAAGATGTTTTTGGGGGGGTTTTTAAGATTTCCAAACATTTGTTTTTTCAGCCTAAAATGACCAAACAACACCAGAAGGTTAAACATCATGAGATTCAATAATTCACTCAATGCAGTCAGGCGTCTGTCATTCGGTAACATTTTACAATAAGTAACTAACGATAAAAAATAATTCTAAAATATTGAAACTAATCTCAGCATTTACTAATTCATTTTACGATCAAGTTGTATGTAACATTACTGCAGTGTAGACCAACATGAACATTTTTATTAATTAAAGGATAATAAATGCTGTAAAAATAATGTTAATGCATTAACTAACTATTCTGTATGATGTTTTAAACCTCTTGTGATTTTGTGGTGAAATATGAGCCGCAGGTTTATCGAGATTCATGATGATTGATGTTTAATCTCTCTCTCTCTCACACTGTATTATGAGTCTTTTTTTTAATTGTTTTATATTAGTAGTGTAATATTGCATTACTCTTTTTAAACTGAGAATTTCATTGTATTTCATTTGGTTATTGTTACTTTTGTCTGTTTCGTGTAACTTTGTATCAGCTTGTTAAAATGATTTTTCTAGAATTGTTTCAGTAAATAATCAAACCTGATTATGAAACCCGATTCGACTGTTGATCAAAATAACATGGAGATCATACAGACGCACAGTCTGAGAAAAACCATTTAATGAAATCTACAACTACGGCAACAGCAACATGACAAACTCATTATTTGAGAAAAACACAAACACACAAATCCAGAGCAGTTCATTTCTACAGCAAACAGCCACAACTGAACCGAGAGTCGATTCATCAACAAAAACCTGCAGAGAAACAACAGAGAGAACTGTGTGTGTGTGTGTGTGTGTGTGTGTGAGAGAGAA